ATGAGTAATAGTGGCCCTGGGCCAAGCAGTGGCAACGGTGATGGTGAGAAGAACAGCCACAGGCCACGCCGGATGAACAGGGCTTAACGGGGAGCGGGAGGGGGGGGCTGGTGGACACAGTGTGCTGGGAGTCCTGGGCAGGCGAGCAGGAGAGGCACACCTCTCTGTCTGGGTGTGCCACCCCTGAGGCCAGGAACATAGGTGATGGTGAACTCAGCTTTGGCTAGAGTGGGTTTAGGATGGGGCGGGGGGCCTAGGAGGTCATGGCTTCCAGGAGACTCCAGGAGGGAATGCCAGCCGAAGTCTGCGAGTCTGGGAGGCAAGTATGCAAGTATGGAGAGAAGCAACAGCAGCTACAAGTGGGCAACCCGTCCAGCAAGCGTGGAAAGCCACGTGCCCCCAGCTGCGGAAGAAGCCACCAGATCCAGGTCGGAGTGTTGCGGAACGGGAAAGGGGAAACCCAGCCAGCTCCGGCACTAACAGACCCGCAGCCCACGCCTGGGAAGGGAAGTGAGCCCAGCAGCAGATTTCGGACACTCAGTCCCTCATGATGGCTGATGTTGGAGAAGGCGACCACCTCGCCATGGCTGCCCCCTGCCTTGAGTCCTTCCTAACTCCTAGGTTGCCCTGGCTTCCCTCCTCCTGCTGGTCCCACCGCTGGGTTCCTGTGGCCCTTGCCAGTTGTCTCTCCATAAAGCCCCATCCCATGCCAGTCTCCTCTGCCCTTGTGAAAGGCAGTTCCAAGGCTGGTATCTCTCCAGTGTTGTCCGCTCCCCTCTTATCTGTGTGATTTGGCAGTGAATTTCCCCGTGCATAGCTGGCTTATCCTGTGACCTGATGACCATGTCAGAAATCCCAAGTCAGAAGAATTTGGTTTCAAATATTTGTTTTGCTACCTTGCCCCTGTGTGTCATTGGCTGCTCACTTAGCCTCTCTAGACTTTAGTTTCTTCTTTGGAAGTGAGAAAAGTGACCATCTTGCATTTCTGATAGGGCTGAAGCAAAAAGCCCTGCCTGCTACACTGAAGTCCTCAACAATGGCTAGAAATCTCTTCCTCCCTCCTCTAGCTGGAACAGTGATTTGCCTCAAGGAGGTCAAGGCCAGCCGCCTCTGCCCACCACTAGTGACATGATCCTCTGGCGCCAGAAGCTTGCCATTCCCCACATTCATCCTTCTCCACCCCTCAGCCTGCACATGCTGTACTCTCGGCCCGGACTGTCCTTCCTCCCCAGCAAATCACTTCTCATCTTTCAAGACCTAGCACAGCTTTAAAGTGTGATTGTTGAGGTGAGCTTAGCTGATTGGAGGAGAAGAGCAGGCTGGGGCCTGGGGGTGCAGGGCAGGGTGAGGTAGGAGGCAGCTTGGGGGCCCGAGAGCACCAGTCCTAGTGTGCCCTGAGTGAGTCCTCAAAGGGAAGAGTCAAGGCAAGAAAGAAGGGCTGGGGGTCTCTGGGCTTGGACTTGGCTGTCATCTTTGGGAAATTCCTTCTAGCGGGAACTTTGGATGGCCTGTAGGAAGATAATAGCGTGCTTAAATCCAGCGTTCGCAGGGCTCCCAGCTGTTGTTCCTTGAGGGAGATCCTTGTAGGGTGGGAGAGGAGGGTCAAGCACTTTCTGGTGGTTTCCAGGCAGTGCTGGGGCCTCGGGTTAAGACTTTCTGTTCCCAGTTTTGATCCCTTTTACTTCATCTAGACTCCAGATGGCCCTAACCATAATGAGGGCCTGGGGGAGGGTGAGCCCCGAGTCCACAGGGCATCCAGGTGAATCTCCTGTGCTCTAAAACACTGAGCTTGAGGTGCCAAGACAGGTGGCATCACCCCCAAACACAGCACACACACACACCCAACCGCTAGTTCCAGCCCATGTCTCTCTCTGCTTACATTTACTCCCAGAGGGTACCATTATACCCCACTTTACACCATAATATGAGAAACCCAGTCCTTATCCCAGGGTAAGCTTTGAAATAGGTTAGAGGGAGGGAAAGGAAGTCACAAGGCCATGGAGAGGAAGGAGGGCAGTTTACACACTGAGTCTTCCCTCAGCCTCATCTCTGCACAGTCTGTGCTGAGATCTGGGGCCTTTCAAGTGGACCAAGTAGGCTTACTGCCAGGGACGCCCAGTTCACCAGTTCACCATCATTTCAAGTAGCAGTGCCTAGAGAGCTGGGCCACAGAAAAGCCACGAGCAATAGCAGGCATCAAGGTTTTTTCTTCTCCACCCTAGGCAGGCACCCTAGAAATAGTCAAGTCCACTTCACATTGGTGAGGAGACCCGGCTCTCCCCTATGGAGAGGCCACTGCTTCACTGCTTCCTCCAGAGACAGGGGCTGAGATTGTCCACACAGAAGGGGACCAACTGACTATCATGGCCAACCCCAGGCACCCACGGCATACCTGGAGACAGTGAGTCCCAGACAGGGACAGATGCAAAACAGGCCCTGGACGCTTGACAGCCCATTGTGTGATCCAGGACCCACCTGGTTTACAGCTGTCTGGTCTGCCTAGTAGGTAAAGACCAGCCTGGGAGAAGGTAAATGTCCTGTTCCCACCTATGCTGCAGCCACTCATACCCAGAGAACAGTTTGCTTTGTCTAGAACCAGAGTAGAAAGGGGTGCCCCAAGGGGTGGGGGCTCAGCAGTGTGGGAGGGTGAGGGAGGCCCAGAGAACAATAGCACAGGGAGGAAAGAGATTTGGCATCAGACAGATCTGTGTTCTTGGCCCCCACTCTGCTACTTGTTTGCTGGGTGACCTTGTGCAAGTCACTTGCCCTCTCTGAACATCTGTTTCCTCACCTATTAAACAGAGTGAGAGCAGGTCATCGCATTCTGCAAAGCCAATGAGGCAGAGCTGAAGTTGGAATCTAGGACTGCTGGTTCTCTTCCTTGCTCCTCCTATTGGTGTGGGATGAGGGTTCAGTTTGAGCCCAGAGGGGCTGGACAGAGCAACGAAGATATGTTCAGGAGCAAGAAAGCTTGAGCAGCAGAGAGCAGGTCAGGCAGACAGGTTACTTCCCCTGGGAGAGGCAACACGGAAGGCTTCCTGGAGGAGGAAGTCTTCCTGGAGGAGTTCTGTTTGGAAAAGTTGCAAAATAGATACTACCAGCTAAGGTAAGATGATGACTTCTCTGAATCACAAAGTGCGAGCTGTTAGGGAGCTCACTACCCCCCACCCCTACCCTTACTTCCCCCCAAGCCCACAGATAGGGAAGCTCTGCTGTTGCTGTAGGGCATGTGGTGAGTGGGTTGTTTGGCTGGGCTGACAAGTCAGATCAGCCCCTGGCTGGAACCACTGGACCCCATCTCTTCCAGGCTCTGTATCCTGCTCCACCTTCATCCTCACACCCCTAAGTGCCCTCAGATCAAAAAGAGGGCATGGGCCCTCCCTGGTGGCGCAGCGGGTTAAAGCACGGCACTAAGAAGCTAGAGTCACTTCCGCATGAGTTCGATCCCCGCCTGCCCCGGAGGTGACCACATGGTGTGGCAG